ACTCGAGGAAATCGAGCCATCAGATGTGTCGCGGGTTGAGATTCGGTTGGGCTCGCAGGTACTGTAAGGATTTGTGGTCAGTTCGCACCGTGACGTCAGCGCCTGTCAGGTAGCACCGCCAGTTTTTGAACGCGTGGACAATCGCCAACATTTCCTTGTGTACTGTGTAATTTTTCTCCGCGCCCTGCAGCTTCCGTGATTCGTAGGCGACTGGCTGTAACCCGTCGCCAAAATCCTATAGGAGAACTGCGCCGATTGCGATGTCGTTGGCGTCAGTGATGACTTCGTATGGACGGTCGGGATCGGAGATGCGAAGAACGGGCGGCGATGTGAGGGCGATCTTCAGTTGGTCAAATGCAGCTTGCTGCTTCTCTCCCCACCAAAAACAATCGTGATCCTTCAGTCGGTCGGTTAGCGGGGCAGATAACCCAGCCATATTGGGGATAAAGCGGCGGACGTAGTTAACGAAACCCAACAAACTTTGCAGCTCCTTGATGTTGGTTGGCGGCTTCCACTCCTGTATGGTCTTGGTTTTCCGGGGGTCGATTTTCACTCCTTCGGTAGAAACGACGTGGCCCAAAAACTCCAACTCCTACTTAAGAAAGTCGCACTTAGACCCTTTCATGATGAGGCGATTCTTGTGTAGCAGCGTGAAGACTGCATCAAGATCCTGTAAGTGTTGCTCCCTGTTGCGGCTGTAGATTAGTATGTCGTCGAGATAGATAATCACACATTTATCCAAGAGTTCCCTGAAAACGCTGTTCATGGTCATCTGGAATGTCGTGGGCACGTTCGTGAGGCCAAAAGGAATCACCAGGTATTCGTAACTGCCGTAGCGGGTTTGAAAGGCGGTTTTGTGACAATCTTCGGCGGCGACGCGAATCTGATGGTAACCTCCTCGCAAATCGATTTTCGAGAAGAACTTGGCTCCGCGAAGCTGGTCGAGTAGATCGTCAGCTCGCGGGATCGGGTAACGCGACTTGATTGTGATCCTGTTGAGCGCGCGGTAGTCGATGCACATGCGGAATCCTCCATCCTTCTTTGGGGTGAACAGGATCGGGGCGGCGTATGGGGACGTGCTGGGCCGGATTACTCCCTTCGTCAAGAGGTAATCCAGCTGCTGCTGCAATTCTTCGAGTTCTGGTTGGCTGAGCCGAAATTGTCACTGCACCGTCGGTTGGGCGCATGGTTCCAGCTCGATGCGATGGTCTTCTGGTCGGCTCGGCGGAAGTCCAGCGGGCAGGTCGTCCGGGAAAATCTCGAGGTACTTTCGAATCAGGTCCGCTAAATCCGGAGGAACGGCATCGCACAGCTTCGCGATATCTTCGGCTGTTGTCGCTGACGTCACCTCGCGAAGGTCGACGGCGTACGCTGCAGCTCCCGCTTTTATCGCGCGCTTGAATGTTATCGCATGGACGTGGGTTCTTCGCATGCGAGGTCCCGTCCATTTTGGGAGTTCGCGATGAATCTTGTTGAATTTGATGCTACAGCCGCCCGTCGTCCAATCAATGAATCTTCGGGTTGTACTGACGCAGCCATTCCCGTCCCAGTAGTACGTCGCATCCTTCGAGTGTAGTCGCCAGCAGCCCCATCCGGAATTTTACGTGTTCCCCGCAGTGGAAACTGACGTTCTCCACTCGTTCCCGTATAGACAGTGGTGTTCCATCCACTAGTCGGGCGTCAATTTCGGGTAGACACTTAAGTAGGGGAATACCCTATTTTTTCGCCCTGTCCAGCTGTATGAGACTGTAACTCGTGCCTCCATCCACCAATATTTTCAGCAACACCCCGTTGACTTTACCCTCCACCAACACAGGGTGATCAGCACTTTCGTCCCCCTTATTCGTCCGGGTCCGGTCGATTGCAACAATCGGGATCACGACCCGGTGGGGACTGTGTGGCTCGGGCGAAGAAGCCTGCCCGTCAGTAAGGGGCCCGGTACTTACTGATGCGACCCATTTTCCGGTCGCTCCTCCGGCTTCTTCCCCATAGAATTTTGAGTGGCTACGATTTCTGGGCAGTTGCGTCGGATGTGACCCGGTCGGCCATAGTGGTAGCATAGCCCCGTATTTCGCAGAGCAACTGCGTAAATATCCACTGTGTCCATCCCTTTTATCGTGGCGCGCTGGTATTGTTCTCGAAGGCGACCTCCATCGTAGAAGTTCGTCCTCGGCTTCGTGAGCGAATCTGCGGCTTCGGCGAGTTGGATAAAATCTTGTAACCGCTTCGCAGGTCGTTGCAATTTTATCTGGTACTGTATTTCAGGCTTCAGTCCGCCCATGTACCTGTCGACCTTCTCCAACTCGTGCATGTAGCCACATCGATCCACCAACGTCAAGAATGACGCGGTGTATTCGGATACAGATCCCAGCTGCTTCCACATGCGTAGAGTCTCGCGCGCTTTGTCTGAGTCAGGAGTGTGCTCAAACCGTTTGCGAAGCTCTGCGCACCACGTTGCCCACGTGCGAATGTGGGTTACACCAAACAGCAAATCTGCCTCGTCTTCGTCGCCGAATTCTTCGGACCACTCATGCTGTCCTTCTGTGCGAGTTGCCGCTGAGTCGACGATGACCTTCCACCACTGTAGGGCGGCCCCTTGCAACAGTGTCAACGCATGGCTGATCCGCTTCTGATCGTCTCGGATGCCCGCCGCGTTGAAATAGATATTCGTGGCGAATATCCACTGCCGCACCGTCACGCCTTTATTAGCTGGGTCGAAAGGAGCGGGTTGCTGATATCTCACGCCGCCACTTGTCGAGCGCGGGGCTGTTGCCGCTATTTGTGCCAGCTCCACTGGTGACGGTTGCTGCTCACCCGCCTCGCCTTGTGCATTGTCGCCTGACTCCTCTGAACGCCTTCCCTGCGCCTGGCGAAGTCGTTGGTTTTCGTCGCGGAGGTTGTTGACGACGCTTGTCAAATTGTTTAACTGCTCCATTAATGCTTGCAGGTCCACTGTTTCTCGGGCAGAGTTCGCAGAAGTCGATGTCGTCTGTTCCTCAACCGTCGAGTCTACCGGGGCCATGGCGGTCAGGACAGGGTAGAAACTAGCGCACACGCTGTAGTTGTTGACGTAAAAATATTTACGATCGAAGACAACTGCTGTGCAGCCGTGTTAATCCCCTCTGACCAGCCTTAAATAATTAAACGAGAAAACGGAAGGTTCTTGGAAAGTTCGGGCTCTGATACCAGCTGTTATGAAATAGGAAGTGTCAATGTACTATAACGTGAGAATACAAGGTCGCTATTGCAATGAAGGCACAAGGTTATATAGGAATTGGCTTACTATGGGGATAACCTCGGAACGTGGGTAGGTTCGGCAATGTGGCGACAGTGCCGGACGCGACTCGGGAAAGGGTTGGGCCTGATAAACGAGGCCGAACATGACGAGTCGAGGAGTTCGGGTGTACGCGCTAGCGTACGACTCAGTAAGGAATGGAAATTCCTTACATCGTAGATGGAGTTCGCTGACTTTCGTGGGACATGGATGCATGCTCTCACATGTGACTCGAACGACCTCGCGTTTGACGAAAGGGTCCTTCATTATCATCGACCATCACGTTATTCGCCCGTCATCATTTCAAGAAATTTGGCTGCCACGCGCCATCATCAATCGACCACTCGACGGGTTCACTGTTCATTGTCTTCCGCTGGAGTACTTACCCTTGCCCGTTTGGTCACCAGAAGAATTCGACCATCTTCGACGGCTGAGATTAAAAGCGATCGTTTCGACGCTTTCTGACAATCGATCGTAGTACGACCTCAAGACCTCGTCAGGCCGGCGTAATCATTACGCTCGTCACAGGGCTGAAGACTTACAGTGACTTCGGGGATTAACTTAGATAAAGGGTTCGACCTCGATTAAGGGAGGGCTTTCCTTTTAAAAGGTGGGAGAGTGTAAGGGATTACGATTCCTTAATGGGGCTCGCCACATCGAGTACACGCGAACAGTGCGCGTCTGCAGGCTCGGCCCTTGGTTATCGCGCCAACCCAACCCCCGTCGACCTTTTCGGCCCCAACCTGACCCCGAGTCGCCCCGAACCCGCTTTGACCCCGTCACCCTCGGACTAACGAGCCCTTGACTGGTCCAACCCTCGACATTCAACCTGGTCAACTTGCACTATATAAGCCCTAGGCCTCATTAGGAGTATGCCTCTGGAATCACGTTCCCCTTAGAGCGTGTTCCTACGAGCCTCTTCCCAGGCAACCTCTTCCCAAACTCACGCGCGACCTTGAGAGCATGTTCCCAGGACCCTTTTTTGGAATATTCTCGTTTCATATTTGCGTTCCAACGCTCTCAACCATATAAAAACAGCTGGCGTCGAAAATTTACTGTGCAGATTCGTGCTTGTCTGAAAATCTGCTCGTCTGAAAAGAGGTTTTAAAACATGCCCTGAATCCCGAAAAGCTGAATCTCACTTCGCACTTCGCGGAACCGCACTGAAATTTTTCGCGACAAATTTTGCGACACTGTAGTGTAAGAAACCCAGTCACTAACCACTGGGTTAAAAGGGCTTGTTGAATAGCGGGTAAGTGCGCCCATAGCCCCCCAGGCTCTGCACCTGTGGCCCTTCTCCGAGGATTTCAAGGTCAACCCCAGCGGGTCACTCAACACTTCCCCCCCCGCTGGGATAGGTGGAAGACACCAGCGCCTCTGCAGCGCTGGCACTGGGAGTTGAACCCAAGACCTTTGGCTCTGATACCATGTCAGAAACCCAGTCACTAACCACTGGGTTAAAAGGGCTTGTTGAATAGCGGGTAAGTGCGCCCATAGCCCCCCAGGCTCTGCACCTGTGGCCCTTCCCCGAGGATCTCAAGGTCAACCCCAGCGGGTCACTCAACATGTAGCACGCGAGTCTGGGAAGAGGTTGCTTGGGAAGAGGCTGGTAGGAACACGCTCTTATAGTATTCTGCGCTATACTCTGAGTTATAATTTATAACAGTTCTTGACCATTCAAACGCTTCCGCAAAGCGCACGCACACCTACAGTTCAATCCTGAAGATCCTACAGACAATATTTGACCGCTTCAATACTTTTTACGGAAAATGCACTGTAAACACACAAAACCTTCTACAACCGCTAAAAGGGTTCCAACTTCAGGGCTTGTGTGAACAAAATGTACCACGCCCTATACAGAAACCCATTTTCTGGTATATACAAACAGAATATACACCGGGAAGGGAAATAACGTAAACCACCACTCGACTCAAGTAGGTAGGAGCGGGGTGCAGCAGAATGGAGGAGAGGAAGCTCAATGAAGTGTAGCACCGTGCATGATGCACATGGAGAGAGGTCAGGTCACGGAGCAGCTCCAAAATCAGCGGACCACTGCTGCATGGTCTCAAGGCGGTCAGGAGAGCAGGTGGCACGGATGACAGAGAGCGCTGCGTGCATGTCACTCACACGCACAGGACGCACCTGACACACACATGCACAAGGGGGCATTACAACAAGCCCAGCAGTGAGGCATGGAGCATGGAACAACGGAGGCGAACGACTTTCAGGAGGCAGGATGAACAGGAGCACAGAACAGGGCACACAGGAGGAAGTGAGGGGCAGGCAGCAAGGTAGTGCCCACCTCGTGTGCGCTGGCGGTGGCGATGCGGCCTCCCAGCTCCCTGATGGGCGCCATGGCCGCCTCCTGGCACAGCGCCTTCAGGTCACTCGCTGAGTACCCTGACACACAGGGGAAGAGTGAGAGGGGCAGAGAGGACGGGTGAGCGTGCAGTGGGGCTTGCAGGCTGTGTGGCAGCAGCAGCAGTACGTACACAGCGTACACGCAATGTGGATATGGCAGCAGGGAGGCCGTACCTTGAGTGAGAGAGACAATGCATTGTAGGTCAGCATCTGCAGGCAGGGGGGTGCATGGGGGCGAGCAACGAGGGGCAGCGAGCAGGACAGTTATGGCAGAAAGTGGGACTCCTTGTGAGAGGTGCATGCAAGAAGCAGGTGGTCCAAACGGTGGAGGCAACAGAGAGTTGTACAGGAACCGAATAAGATAGCTGACACCGTGCCTGTGCACCACAGCACACATGGAAGCAGGAAGGAGTGGCAACAGGCATGGAAGCAGGCATGGAAGCAGGCATGGAAGCAGGCATGGAAGCAGGCGTGGAAGCAGGCATGGCGGGCACGGCGGGGTGGCAGTGACCTGAGAGGGCAAAGTCACGGCCTCGTGTGAGGTGGCGCAAGAGAGCAGCGCGCCCTGCGGCATCGGGCAGAGGAATGAAGATGCGCTTCACCTGGGGGAGGGGTGCTTACGGGGGCACACACGCACAGGACAAGGGAAGGGAGCAGCAAGGGCGCCAGCAGACGTATGCCCACAATCAGCAACCGGCATGTGGTTGGGGGAGCATGAATGGCGAAGTGCAAGGCAAGTGGATACGCGCAAGGCAAGTGGATACGCGCAAGGCAAGTGGAGGGTGCGAAAAAAGGAACCATGGCAGCAGCAGCAACGGGAGTGGAGCAGGCACTCACCAGTCGCCGCAACACCGCCTCATCCAACTCCTGCGGGCGGTTGGTGGCGCCTGCATTAGGAGGAGGGGAGAGAGCGGACAGCACAGCGAAGCAGAGGGCTGAGAAGAAGGCGCGCTGGCAAGGTGAGGAAGGCTTGGGAAAGGTATGACCAACCAGCAAGCGGGGGCAGCAGGGCACCCCACATAGAGGAAGTATGTCACCCATTCCACATTGTGGCAGGTGGACTTTATCACGAGAATGGAATCACAACATGTTGAACGAGGATAACATGAGTGCAGCACAACACAGAATGCAGCTACAGCTAACATGGCATGGCATGGCAGGGTACCGATGACGACGACATGGTCGGAGTCGGCTGTGAGCACGCCATCAAACTGCAGCAGGAACTCCGTCTTGAGCCGCCGACTCGCCTCCTGCTCACTCGCCGCGCGCGCACTCAACACACTGTCTACCTGATGGCCACCACACAGGGTAGACCAAAGGCAGGGGAGGAGAGGGGCGTGGCAGCAGGATGGAGAGGCATCAACAAGGTGCTTTAAGGGCAGTCGCTGGGAGAATATAATTACCCCAATAGTGCTGCCACGCTGGTCAGAACAGCAATAAACAGCAGGCAGCTAAGCAGCCAAGGCGATTAAGCTATGTTACCCCATGTCACACCCCTTCTTCACCCCCTTCGTGTAAGCAAACCATCACTCATTGCAAGCGCCACTCCCCCATTGCCCTACCTCGTCTATGAAGATAATGGATGGCTGTCGCTGGCTGGCCACGGCAAACAGCGCCCGAACTAGCTTCTCCGACTCGCCCATCTGCGCGCGTGCAGGTGACAGAGGAACGAGGGACAGAATTAAGAAACATACGAACATACACAGGAGAGAGAGATTGAGCAGTGGGCGGGGTAAGGGGTGAAGAAAGGGAGAGGCTGTGCAGTGGCATGGGCGAGAGAGCAGTAAGCATGCGCATGGCGTTGAGGGTGCGCGCACCCATTTGGAAGTGAGTGTGGCGGCGCTGATGTTGAAGAACGTGGCGCGCGCCTCCGCCGCCACCGCCTTCGCCAGCATCGTCTTACCGTTGCCGGGCGGGCCGTACAGCAGCAGCCCTGGGGCCAGGGGGGGGCGGAGGCACGGGGCATGGGGCAGGGGGCATGGCAGGGAGTTGGCGGCAGAGGTACCGATGGGGCCGGTGCGATGGGAGCAAGGAGAGAGTGCGAGAGGTGGAGTGGTGGTGAGGTAAGAGACTGGCCGGGCAGCACAGGTGGGGTGGTGGCGAGGGCCAGGCGGAGAAGCGTGGCTGGGAGAGGCAGTTAGCGGCATGGCGAGGGATGAGCAAGGGGAGGCGGTGCAAGGGAGAGGCGTCTGGGCAGTGGAGGGCGGGGCGTGGGAGTGGGTTACCTCGGGGCGGGCGCCGGATGCCCTGGAAGAGGTCGGAGCGCAGCGCGGGCAGAATGACCATCTCCTGCAGCGCCTGCTTGGCGCGCTCCAGCCCCACTGCCAGGCCATGGGGGCGGGGGAGAGGGTGAGGTGAGTTGAGTGAGTGGACACGGGCTGGGTCATGGCGGCGGCAACAGGTGGTGGGGCAGTGGCGGGATGGATGCCCAACAGGGGAGGGTTGGGACGGGGCACGGAAAGGGGATGGGGGAAGCAGATAGCGTGGTGGGGACGCCAGAAAAGAGGTGGAGGAGAGCGAGCGTGGCGCGCACCTATGTCACTCCACCGTACACTGGGCTTGGCGTCCACGATCTCGCTCTCCACCAGCGCCACCAGCTGCGCATCCACGCCCCCCACTCCCGCCCCCTCCCTCCCCCCTCCGCTCGTCCCGCCGCCCCTCGCCCCTGCAGCGCCACCCAGGGCGGGCTTCCCCCCCCTGCCCTGTGCTGGAGCACGGGCGGCCTGAGAGGCGGGGGAAGGCGAGTGCAGCAATACGGAGAGGCGCTGGGTGACGTCAGCAGACCACCGCGTAAGGTCAGCATGGCAGCGACGCACTTCGGGCGACGCGCTGGTGGAAGGCGACGGGGGGGGGGGGGGGGGGGAGGGGGAGGGGGGATGGGAGGCGTGCATGGGGCGATTGGTGGAGCAGGATGGGGACGAGTGGGGCGTGCGAGGATGAGTGGCGAGGGTGGAGGTGTCACGTGCCATGGTGGTGTAGGGGAAGACAGCAGAGAGAGAGAGCGAGAGCGAGCGAGCGAGGTAGGTAGTGAGCAAGACACAGAGTACGCTAGCGTGGCACATCAACCCCTGAACTGACACTCTCTGCCACGATCCCACGTGGCCTGCCCCGCGCTGCACGCCCCATGCGCGCACCTGTGCGCGCCCGTGCACAGTCCGTCGCCGATGATTTCCAGCGCCTTGCGGTAGTACGCCACGGCCTTGCTGCCCTTCCCCCCCTCCTCCGCGCCCACCCCCCGCTCCACACACTCCCGCGCCAGCGCGTGGAACCCCCTCACCTTCACGCGCGCCACCTCCTCCGCCCCCATCCCCGCAGCTCCCCCCCCTCCCCGCGCGCCCAAGCCCCCAGCGGGCGAGAGCGCGGAAGTCGTGTGGCTGCTGCCGTCCCTCCTCTGCTCGTTGCCGCCCGCTTCCCACCCGTCACTTTGCGCCCACCCGCCGTTCACTCCGCCAGGTAACAGTCCGCTGGTCCACGAAAAAGGAGCGGGCTGGCCCCCGCCGCATGCGGCGGAACGCACAAGCGGTTGAGTGTGCGGAGAAAGCGCGGATGTTGGCGCGGACGAGAGCGAGGCAGCGGAGTGGGGAGCGGGGCCGGGGGCGGATGATCGCGGGGAGGCGGGGGAGAAGACGAAGGAGCGGAGACGGGACCACCAGTCGGGAGGGGTGTTGGACATGGGCGGGCGAAGCATGAGGATGAGCGCGAGGAGCAGCGACGAGAGAACTATGCAAACGGCGATGTCAGACGGAATAAGGGGTTCGTATAGTATCGAAAGCGACCGTAAAAGCATTGCGCTAAGCGGAGAGCACAATAGCGGCGGTAAGTGCCAGGCATATGTCCTGCAGCTGCTGCGGTAAGGCTGTATGCGCGGGGGCGTGCGCCATGGAGGCCAGACCGCAGAAACTCAAGGCCGGGCAATCGACTATGCACAAAGGACGTTTGCTAACAGCGATGGATTTGAGGGCGGTGGCATGCGGAGCCGCGGGGAACAAAAGCGGCAAGTGTTGGCGGTGAGCTGCAGATTCCAGAACACCAGGATTCCCGTTCCGGACGGTGAAAGTGCCGAAGACATCGAGAGTGGAGAGGAGGGTGCGGTTTGAAGGGAGCTCGTTGAGTGGGAAACTACTTTTACGGTCGTCACAATATCGGAACCATCCTCTGCACCGTTTGTGCTCATTCTCTGATCATGTTATGAATTAATCAGAGTAATACCAGGTAGTGTAATAAAGGAGTCGTGATTCAAGAGTTGTCAATACAAATGAGGGCCTAGGCATTTATAGGCACAACGGGGCTAGCCGAGAACCTCGCAAACAGGTTGGGGCGACTCGGTTGGCGAAAGCCACGGAAGCGCCGCGCGTTAGGTTTGGGTTTACGAAATGGTTCGGGACCGAGGAAAACGGCCGAGCCTGGTCTTCCGAGGGTCGAGGGCGTACGCGCTGTAGTTGCCCAGTAAGGAAAAGGAATTTTCCTTACACCACCCCCCCTTCCGAGATGAGACTACCCACATCCGGGACACGTCGTTGGTGTAAATAGTCCCTGACAACTTTGTGTTCACCGAGCATCGCTGCGGGGACCCAGAGGTCGTCATCAGTCGTGCGATCGACCCATCGTACCAGGAAATCAACGGTTGCTGTGTCGCGAGAACCTCGTACGCGATGAGCGAGGATTCTCGATGGCTCGATCGTCGGCTCGGGTACTGGGTTGACCGTGGGATTGATATGTTGACGGTCGAGATCAGTTGTATTCGGGACGAACGGTCGTAGAAGACTGGCGTGGAATGAATCGTGGATCCGCCAGTCGCTCGGTAGTTGCAGTTGGGCGGTGACTGGTGTCACCATGCGGATGATGCGAAATGGGCCGCAGAATCTTGGTCGTAATTTATTTGGGAGGGGAATTCCCAAATTTCGAGTGTCGAGCAGAACCAATTGCCCAGGGGCAAGAGTTAAGTCACGGCGTCGTCAGTCAGCTTGCTGCTTAGCTCGTTGGTTGGCTTTAAGTATAGCGTCAGCGGCTTTTTGCTGAGACTGTCGACGAACTGCTGCGACCTTGGTGCCGGGTTTTCTATCGGTGGTGATAGAGGGGTTGTCGGTATCAGAATAATTGAATAATGGTAAAAGTGAGAGTACACACAAATATATCTAAGTTTTGTATCCTCTAAGAGGTGACTCTATACAGTCTATACAAACATGACAAATACACATGTTTGACACACCCCCTAGACTGCATAGGGGAATACCCTAAACAAGCAGCTCAGGGTGGCACTACTAGTCCAACCTCTGAGGCAAGGGTCTGAGCGACCGGTCAGAAGGAGTACAGACAAGGCAAGCACAAGAGCAGGGCGGCACTACTAGTCCAGCCACTGGGAGAGGACACAAGTCCAGTCTGAGTATACATATAAAGGACAGTACAAAGTCAAGGTCCTAGCAAGTGAGAGGCTACAGGAACTAGACCAAGCTGTACACAGTGCCGCTGATGATCTTTAGGCGCAAGCGCCTTCGTAAAGATATCAGCCGTGTTGGCACCTGAGGCCAAGTGTACTACGCGAGCCTGACGTCGCTGCTGTAGCTCACGCAGGAGGAAGTACCGCAGCTGAATGTGCTTCGCTCTGCCCTCGAGTCGAGGCTCCTGACACAGGAGGATCATGGCCCTGTTGTCAGCGAACAGGACCGGGGCAGAGCTAGGTCGCTCACCTAAGTCAGTGAGCAAGAAGGTCAGCCAGCGGAGCTCCTGTGCCGCCATGGCACCGGCGTAGATCTCAGCCTCACAGCTGGACTGTGCAACAGACGAGGAGCGAGTAGCTCTCCACGAGACGGCACCTGAGCCAAGGCTGAAGCAGTAGCCCTGGGTAGACCGGAGTGTCTCAGCGTCGTCTGCCCACGAAGCGTCTGTGTGCCCAGTAAGGACCGCTGGCCTGCGTCCTCCTAGCACTAACCCCATGCCCGATGTACTAGCAAGATAACGCAGAACCCTCTTAGCGGCAGACCAGTGCTGCGGTCGGTGTCTGCCTGTGGCCACAAAGCGAGCCAGGATGCTGAGAGGGTATGCGAGATCTGGGCGAGTGCAAGTCATCAGGTACATGAGGCAACCCACCAGCTCTGCGTAGGGGCCGCTGGGCTCTACCAACTCCTCAGGCACTGGAGCGGAGAGCCTGTGGTCTACAGGCAGAGGGGTGGGCTGTGCAGAGGAGAACTGAAGGCTGAACCTCTGAAGGACCTGGCGCACCAAGTGTGACTGAGTCAGGGTGATGGTGCGCGCAGCTCTGTCCCTGGAGATCTGCAAGCCAAGGTAACGGCGCAGTTCTCCAAGGTCAGTGCAGGTGTGTCTCTTCAGCAGCTCTGCCTTCACGGAGGCCAGCGCGTCCCTGTCTGCTGTGGCAAAGACCAGGTCGTCGACGTAAACGAGGATGTAGAACGGAGTCTGGCCAGCACGAACGAAGAGTGAAGGGTCTGCAGAAGACGGAAAGAACTGCAGGTCAGCAAGCGTAGCACGCAGAGTGTCGTGCCACTCACGGGGAGCCTGGCGCAGGCCGTAGACGGGGCGCCGCAGGAGCCACTGGGTCCCAGGAGGGAAGGTGCCAGTAAAGCCCGGAGGGCGGCGCAGGTAGACCTGCTCGTGTAGGCTGCCCTGAAGGAAGGCAGTGGAGAAGTCGAGGGAGTGAAGCTCGTAGTCACGCTGAGCAGCTAGGTGTAACAGAACCCGAAGAGTAGTCATCTTCGGGGTCGGAGCGAAAGTCTGGAAGAAGTCCACCCCCTCGCGCTGACTGAAGCCTCTAGCCACATAGCGCGCCTTGAAGACAGGCGGCTCTCCAGGAGGGCGCTTCACCTTGAAGAGCCAGCGGCCATCGACTACGTTCACCCCAGGTGGGGGAACTGCGTCGACGAAGGTGCCGGTGGATCTCCAAGATGCCATCTCCTGCTCCATGGCAGCTATCCACTGCGAGGCCCAGGGTCCCGAAGTCGCCTCAGCGTAAGTGCGAGGGGTCGGGATGTCGAAAGCGTCTGGGTCACCCTCAGGGACTAGCAGCATGGAACAGAGATGGGGAGCAGCCTCGGAGAGGAAAGCAAGCTCGAACTGGCGGTCCTCCAGGACGTCACTGCCAAGGGCAGGAGCACCCCCGACAGACGAAGGACAGGCAGGGTCAGAGACCAGAGCGGTGGCGTAGTCAAGGCGGCGGGTAGAGGCGAAGTCAGCGACAGCAGCGACAAGAGCGTCAAGGCACGAGACTGGAACAGACGGGTCGGTAACGAGAGAGGCAAGGACCCGAGGAACGAGAGGACGAGCGGCACGAAGGTAGTCGGACAGCGGGGGGGGCGCAACAACAAGGGAGGACGGAGGAGGCGACGGCAGAAGGGGAGGACGAGACGCGTGTGAACGAAGCAACATAGGGTGGGAGCGCAGGACAGGCGAGGCAGGACGAGCACGGGAGGGACGGTGAGACCAGACGTGCGATGGAGGAGTCGGGTCAGGAGACAGGGGAGGGGACACAGGAGGGGAACGAGGGGGAGACGGGCCGGGGACGAGTCCGGCGGAGGGAAAACAGGGCCGTAGACAGGAAGAGGAGGAGACGGTCGGGGAGGAACCGACGCAGGGTCGGGGGACGGAAGGCCGAGCAGGCGAAGGGCGGACACCGGCGGGGACTGCTGCTGCGGCGGCACAACGGCGACACCTGGACCGCAAGCTGCTCCTCGGCTACCACCGGCACTCTCCACACCCGCACCCCCAGAGGGACCACCCTCAGGGCGACCGGGACGAGCACCCCCAGAGTCAGCGAACGGGGGCTGCGACTGCGGCGGCGGCGGCGACGGCGACGGCTGCAGTGGCGGCAGGGACGGCGGAGGAGGGGACTGGGGAGGGGACACCTGGGGAGGGCGGCCGGCGAGGACTGCACCGGAGGGCCACCAGAGTCAGAAGACTCCTCAACCGGGTCCACGGACGGAAGGGGGGTGACATGGGAGACACCAGAGGGGGCGGGACGGGGAGGAGGAGGAGGAGGGGCAGGGACTACCGAGGAAGGGGTGACCAGGAACAGGGGGGGGGTAACCGGGGGACCACGGTGGGGGAAGCGGCGGTAGTAGGAGACGGACTCGTCAAAGGTGACGTCACGAGAGTGAAAGAAGCGGTGAGACGGCGGGTGGTAAAAGTGCCAGTCGGACGCGTCAAGGGGAAAACCGAGGAAGACGCAGGGAAGGGTGCGGGCAGTGAGCTTGTCCGTGCCGGAGGCACGGACGTGAGCAAGGCAGCCCCAGACGTGGAACGCAGACGCGTCACCAGGAGACCCAGTCCACAGACGGGTCGGCGAAACCTGCGGCTGCTGAGGGTGCGGCCACAGGTTAAGCTGGTGAGAAGCGTAGCGCACAGCGAACGGCCACAGAAAATGGGGTGCACCGGCATGGACCATGGAGGTGCGAGCGACCTCCATGACCAAGCCGATGCATCGCTCAGCGACCCCATTTTGCTGTGGGGAGTCCGGTAGGGTGAACGTCTGGGTGATGCCCTCCGCACGACAAAAGCGACCAAGGACACCTGAGGCAAACTCGCCACCATGGTCTGAGTGAAGACGCAAGACAGGGAGACCGCGGTGGACACGCGCAGAGACAAGCCAGGGGATGAGGGCGCCAGGCACGTCGGCCTTGCGCTCCAGGGGAAAGACTGTGGTGTAACGAGTGAAGTCGTCGACAAGCACAAGGAAGTAGCGCTCGCGACGCGGCCCAGGGACGGGGGCGGGGCCCCAGACGTCCACGTGCAGGGTCTGCAGCGGCGCGGCGGTAGGGGGGAACGAGGAGGAGTGAGGGGCACGGCGAAGCCGACCCTCGACACAAGGCGTGCAAGGTGGAGCTGGGGAGGAGGGAAACGCGGGGAGTGAACCTGGGAGACCAAGGACAAGACCGTGCTGGGACATGTGACGCAGACGCGGGAGCGCA